GTAATGATTAAATATTTTTATGGATTATATTCTATTTTTACATTTATTATAAATTATTGGTTATATTAATATTTTTGTAACTTATGTATTTTATACATAGTTCAGTTGCTCAGTTGAGTCTGGCTCTGTGACCCCATGGACTGCAGCACACCAGGCCTCCCTGTCCATCACCAACTCCCAGAGTTTACCAAAACCCATATCCATTGAGTCGGTGATGCCATCCAACCATCTCATCCTGTCGTCCCCTTCTGTTCCTGCCCTCAATCTTTCCCAGCATCAGGGGCTTTTCCAGTGAGTCAGCTCTTCACATGAGGTGGCCAAAGTATTGGAGTTTCAGCTTCAACATCAGTCTTTCCAATGAACACCCAGGACTGATCTCCTTTAGGATGGACTGGTTGGATCTCCTTGCAGTCCAGGGGGCTCTCAAGAGTCTTCTCCAACACCACAGTTCAAAAGCATCAATTCTTCTGTGCTCAGCTTTCTTGATGGCCCAACTCTCACATCCATACATGACTGCTGGAAAAACCGTACCCTTGACTAGACGGACCTTTGTTGGCCAAGTAATGTTTCTGCTTTTTAATATGCTGTCTACGTTGGTCATAACTTTCCCTCCAAGGAGTAAAGCATCTTTTACACATAGTAGTTTCTGCTTATTGATTTCCTACTACTACCCACCCCCTCCTCACTTAACTTATCTCACTGATAACCCCTAGTTCTTTATATCTGCAAATTTGTTTCTGACTTACTTCACTTGTATATTCATTTGTTTGTTTATTTTTTAGATTTCACATGTAAGTGATAAAATATAGTATTTGTCTTTCTCTGTTAGACTTATTTCACTAAACATAATACCCTCTAGGTGCATCCATGTTGTTGGAATTTTTCATTCTTTTTATGGCTGAGTAATATTCCATTACATATATATACACCACATTTTCTTTATCCATTCATCTTGGTGAACACTTAGGTTACTTCTGTATCTTAGTTATTGTAAATAACCCTACTATAAACACTGGGGGTGGGGCACGTATCTTGTTAAGTTAGTGTTTCTTTTTCTTCAGATATACACTCAGAATTGCTGGATCATACAGTAGTTCCATTTTGTTTTTTTTGAGGAGCTGCCATACTCTTTGCCATAGTGGCTACACCAGCTTCCATTCCCACCAACAGGGAATTCTCACCAACAGGGAATTCCCACATCCTTGCCAGCATTTGTTATTTATGTTCTTTTTGATGGTAGCCATGCTGACAGGTGTGAGGTGATGTCTCATTGTGGGTTTGGTTTGCATTTCCCTGATGATCAGTGATGTTGAGTATCTTTTCATGTACCTGTTTTCTATTTGTATATATCTTCTTTGGAAAAATGTTTGTCACATCTTTTGCCCACTTCCCCCCGCCACCACCACCCCTTTGCCCACTTTTTATTGGTTTGTTTATTTTTATTAAATATTGAGATGTTTGAGCCATTTATGTATTTTGAGTATTAGCCCCATATTGGTCATATCATTTGTAGATTTTTTTTTCCATCCTGTTATCTTCGTTTTGTCACTAGTTTCCTTTGCACCACAAGAGCTTTTAAGTTTAATTAGATCTGATTGTTTATATTTTTGCTTTTGTTTCCTTTGCTTTGAGACAGATCCAAAAAAAGTATTGTTACATTTTATGTCAAAGACCATTCAGCCTGTGTTTTCTATCAGTTTTATGGTTTCTGGTCTTACTTTATTTTTAAATCTATTTTGAGTTTATTTTTGTGTATGGTATAAGATGTTCTAATTTCATTTTTACATGCAGCTGTCCAGGTTTCCAGCTGTTGTTATTGAAAAGACTATCTCTTCCCTACTGTATGTTCTTGCTTCCTTTATTTTGGCTTAATTGACCAAAAGTGCGTGGCTTTATTTCTGGGCTCTCTATTCTGTTCCATTGATCTATGTGTCTGTTTTTATGCCAGTACTATACTATTTTGATTCCTGTAGCTTTATGGTATAGCTTGAAGTTGGGAGTGTGATTCCTCTAGCTGTATTCTTTTTTTCTCAGGGTTACTTTGGCGATTTGGGGTCCTTCATATAAATTTCCATATAAATTTTATGCCCCAACCACTAATGCCAAAGAAGCTGAAGTTGAAGAGTTCTGTGAAGACCTAAAAGAGCTTCTAGAACTAACACCAAAAAAAGATGTCCTTTTCATCATAGGGGAGTGGAATGCAAAAGTAGGAAGTCAAGAGATTCCTGGAGTAACAGGCAAGTTTGGCCGTGCAGTACAAAATGAAGCAGGGCAAAAACAAACGTTTTGCAAAGTGAACACACTAGTTATAGCAAACTCTCTCTTCCAACATCACAAGAGATGCCTGTACACATGGGCATCACCAGATGATCAGTACTGATATCAGATTGATTATATTCTTTGCAGCTAAAGATGGAGAAGAAGCTCTATACAGTTAGCAAAAAACAAGACTGGGAGCTGACTGTGGCTCAGATCATAAACTCCTTATTAAAAATTCAGACGTAAATTGAAGAAAGTAGGGAAAACCACTAGACCACATTCAGGTATGACGGAGAACTGAAGAACTATGGACGGAGGTTTGTAATGTTGTACAGGAGGCAGTGATCAAAGTTATCCCCAAGAAGAAGAAATGCAAAAAGGTAAAATGGTTGTGTGACGAGGCCTTACAAATAGCTGAGAAAACAAGAGAAGCAAAAGGCAAAGGAGAAAAGGAAAGATGAACCCATTTGAATGCAGAGTTCCAAATAGCAAGGAGAGGTAAGAAAGCCTTCCTCAGTGATCAGTGCAAAGAAGTGGAGGAAAACAACAGAATGGGAAAGAGTAGAGATCTCTTCAAGAAAATTATAGATACCAAGGGAACATTTTATGCAAAGATGGGCTCAATAAAGGACATATTACAATAATGGGTATGGGCATAACAGAAGCAGAAGATATTAAGAAGAGGTGATAAGAATATATGGAAGAACTATACAAAAAAGATCTTAATGACCCAGATAAACACAATGGTATGATCACTCACCTAGAGCCAGACATCCTGGAGTGCAAAGTCAAGTGGCCCTTAGGAAGCATCAATAAAAACAAAGCTAGTGGAGGTGATGGAATTCCAGCTGATCTATTTCAAATCCTAAAAGATAATGCTGTGAAAGTGCTGCACTCAATATGCCAGCAGATTTGGAAAACTCAGCAATGGCCACAGGACTGGAAAAGGTAAGGTTTCATTCCAATCCCAAAGGCAATGCCAAAGAATGTTCAGACTACCACACAATTGCACTAATTTCACACACTAGCAAAGTAACGCCCCAAATTCTCCAAGCTAGGCTTTAACAGTCCTGAACCAAGAAGTTCCAGATGTTCAAGTTGAATTTAGAAAAGGCAGAGGAACCAGATCCAATGCCAATATCCATTGGATCATATAAAAAGCAAAAGAATTCCAGAAAAACATCTGCTTCATTGACTATGCTAAAGCCTTTTGCTGTGTAGATCACAACAAACTGTGGAAAATTCTTAAAGAGATGGGAATACCAGACCACCTTACCTACCTCCTGAGAAACCTGTATGCAGGTCAAGAAGCAACAGAATCAGATATTAAACAACAGACTGATTTCAAATTGGGAAAGGAGTACATGAAGGCTGTTTATTGTCACCCTGCTTATTTAACTTAATGCAGAGTACATCATGCCTAATGCCAGGCTGAATGAAGCAGAAACTGGAATCAAGATTGCTAGGAGAAATACCAATAACCTCAGATATGGAGATGACACCACCTTTTTTAATGGCAGAAAACGAAAAGGAACTAAAAGAGCATCTTGATGAAAGTGAAAGAGGAGAGTGAAAAAGCTTGCTTAAAACTCAACTTTCAAAAAGCTAAGATCACATGAAGTCCCATCACTTCATGGCAAGTATATGGGGAAACAGTGGAAACAGTGAGAGACTTTATTTTCTTGGGCTCCATAATCACTGCAGATGGTGACTACAGCCATGAAATTAAAAGACGCTTGCTCCTTGGAAGAAAAGCTGTGACCAACGTAGACAGCATATTAAAAAGCAGAGATACTACTTTACTGACAAAGTTCTGTATACTCAAAGCTATGGTTTTTCCAGTAGTTGTGGTGGATGTGAGAGTTTGCCCATAAAGAAAGCTGAGTGCTGAAGAATTGATGCTTTTGAACTGTGGTGTTGGAGAAGACTCTTGAGGGTCCCTTGGACTGGAAGGAGGTCCAACCAGTCAATCCTAAAGGAAATCAGTCCTGAATATTCATTGGAAAGACTGATGTTGAAGCTGAAGCTCCAATACTTTGGTCACCTGATGAGAAGAACTGACTCTTTGGAAAAAACCCTGATGCTGAGAAAGATTGAAGGCAGGAGAAGGGGATGACAGAGGACGAGATGGTTGGATGGCATCACTGACTTGATGGACCTTAGTTTGAGCAAACTCAGGGAGATGGTGAAGGACAGGGAAGACTGGCGTGCTGCTGTCCATGGGATTGCAGAGTCAGATACAACTGAGCAACTAAACAACAACAACGTTTCCATCTAAATTTTAGGATTACTTGTCCTAGTTCTGTGAAAAGGCCTGATAGGCATTTTGAAAGGGATTGCATTAAATCTGTAGATAGCTTTGGATAGTGTGGACATTTAGCAATATTAATTCTTCTACCACATGAACATGGGATATCTTTCCATTTCTTTGCATCATCTTCAGATTCTTTCATCAGTTTTCAGAATATGGTTTTCAAAATAAAGGTCTTTTACCTCCTGGATTAGCTTTATTCCTAGATATTATTTTTAATGCAATTTTTTTAAATTTTTATTTTTAATGCAATGGATTGTTTTAAATGGGATTGTTTTCTTGATATCTCTTGTTGATAGTTTGTGTGTTGAAAAGCAGGACTAATTTCTTATTGAAGAGTTCGTTTTTCTTCTTCCTGAGGAGGCTGCTTGTGACCCCTGAGTCACCTCTGTCAGTCCTTTATGATGTGAACATACCTTTCTCTCCCTAGTGCTGAATTAAATGAGAACACTGTGCCCGTCCGTGGAGACTCTGTGGCTCTGATGCGAACCACACCTGCAGAAAGTGGGTCTGCTCTAAAGGTAACAGTTACTGCCACTTTTTAAGGTTTCTCCTCACATTCTACTAAGTTGAATCTTGGTTATACAGGACATCTGGTGAGTTCTGATGGACACCAGAACTTAAGCTGTGAAAAAAGCACTGAACCTCACTTCTCTAGGGAGAATCCTATTGTCACACCCTATTGTCAAACCCAAGAGTAGCTCAGGGTATCTTCCCCATTTTTGAGTTATTTGTTGTTACTTTGTTTTTTTTAGATGATCTCTTATTTTTGGTTTCTGTATGCTGACTCTACTTCCCTAGTGTTTGAAACAGAACACTGCACATAGTAGGCAGTAAATAAGTATTGATTGATCAAAAGTAACATTCTGAAATTGTGCTGTATTATAACCAGCTTATCTCAAATCCTACCTTTCTTGTATACACTTGTCACACACCCATTGTTGTTTAGTTGCTAACTTGTGTCTGAGTCTTTTTGCAACCCCATGAACTGTCGCCCGTCAGGCTCCTCTGTCCATGGGATTTTTTAGGCAAGAAAACTGGAGTGCTTTCCCATTTCCTTCTCCAAGGGATCTTTCTGACCCAAGGACCGAACCTGCCTCTCCTGCATTGCAGGTGGATTCTCTACCCCTGAGTCACCTGGAAACCCCACACACCCATACCAGTTCAGAAATCATGGAAACCCAGTTCATCGCCCTGGGAATGTTTTTAACTTGCTATTTAAACAACAAATTAGTTTTGTAAAGGAACAGTTACCATTTGTACTTGTATTGCATAAGCAAATTTATCATAGAAATTTACCAAATAATTTATAAAAAGGAAAAAATTAGCAATTACCTGTATTCCCACTAGTCAAATAAACTTTGGGGTTTTAAAAAAGGAACCTAAAATATTTTCAACCCAGAGATTCCTTTCTTCTAATTAAAATCCTAAAATGATATATTGACATGTTTGATGATTGAAAATCTTTAGGTGGAACCTCAGATGTGTTTTGGAACAGAGAAGGACATTTATCCCCCAAATTTATTGCATATTGTGTATCAGGATAGCATGCTAGGCTTTGAAAATTAAAAAATGACTGAGACATGGCCTCTTCTTTCAAGCTGCTTTGTAGTACAGTCGGAGAGAGAATTTTAATACGTGTGGTGGAGATATGCACAGGCTCTTTCGGGGCTCCTCAGGTCCCACAGGGTAAGGGGGAGTGGGACAGGAGGAGGGGGAGGACAGTCACTTCATACGTGGGGCTAAAATTCAGCTAACACTGAACTGGAGATGTCCCATGGCCTGAAGACAGACAGACAGACAGAAATCCATAAATAAAGGGTACACCCTGGGTACTTATTGCTCTTATTTCCAGACTGGAGTTCCATCTTTTATCCTTTTAACATTCTTCCTATGCATTCCCCCCAACACATATACACACACTGCTATACAGAACTCTATTTGTATAAGGCACTTCAAATATTGATTAGACAAAAGCATTAAATAATGTTTATGGGGGAAATTTACATTATACTCCTTTGTGAACATTGGAGCACCCACCCGTGTGAATAAAGAAGCACTGGGAGTTCAGGCCTCTCCTTACGTGCTGGCTTCTTGCTGGCTGAACCTTTTACCTCTCTTCTCTAGTTCAAGAGCTGAGAGCCAGGATAGTCCTAAACCCTACCCAAGTCTTGTCTTATCAGAAGGAATAACTGTATGAAAATTCACAAAACCCTTGCGTGTTTTGAATTTTGGGCTGTAGGCTAGGTTCCCTCCAACACAAGTGAAGTCACTGATAACTATGGCTCCTGAATGTCCCGTTTGTTTCAGGATTAACACCAGCCAGGCATGGGTCCAGATTATACACTGCAAGGATACGGAAAAGCTGTTCGGTGATTAGTGGGTCATTTAACATCTGTGTATCTTGTCTTCCACAGGATGCTACAGATGAACTGGATGCCTTGCTGTTGTCTCTAACTGAGAATCTCCTTGACCACACAACCACACCTCAGGTAAAGATGCTTTAAAACAGAAGATGGAAAGGTATTTCTGTTTGAAATTGTCCCTGCTGGATTCCAATTTTTACCTTGTCTATAATTTAGTAAGACTTTTCATTTCATGAATTTATAGTTCAGTAACCACGTAGCGTTGCTTTTCTATACTAAGTTCTGCCAACTTGAATCTGTGTGTTATTACATAACCACATGTTAACTGTGAGCCTATTTGTAACTAAAGTGAAAGTCACTCAGTTGTGTGACTCTTTGCAACCCCATGGACTGTAACCTACCAGGCTCCTCTATCCATGGAATTCTCCAGGCAAGAATACTGGAATGGGTATTCCCTTCTCCAGGGGATCTTCCCAACCCAGGGATTGAACCCAGGTCTCCCACATTGCAGGCGGATTCTTTACCATCTGAGCCACTAGGGACACCCAAGAATACTGCAGTGGGCAGCCTGTCCCTCCTCCAGGGCATCCTGCCAACCCAGGAATCGAACCGGGGTCTCCTACATTACAGGAGGGTTCTTTACCAGTTGAGCTACCAGGGAAGCTCTTTTTGTAACATTATCCTATTAAACAGCATGAGAGGAACATGTGGGGGTAAACCAGCTTCTTCTATTGTCTGAACTTCCAAAGAGTTCAGACAATAAAGAATTTTAATTTAAAAATAAAACATTTACAGAAAGATGGAATCATAAGAATGGTTGACATTAAACACATTGATCTTTATTTGAGTTTGGGAGATACTGTGTTAAGTACTGTGTGTGCATGCCAAGTCATGGCCAACTGTGAGCATGATACAAATAAGAAACAGTCCCTTCCCTCCAGAGACATGGAGACTAGTTGGGATGGAAGGTGCACAGAAGCCTCATTTAGTGCCTAATGACTTGTTGCTGGGACTGCTGTGACATCACCTGAAGGCTTGGAAGTACAGGTGGTGCTCGGGTGTGTGTGTGCATCACTGGAGAGCAAAAGCACGCACAGACCACTGGTCTCCATCCCCGGAGTTTCTGACGTGGTGTTTGTGGGGTGGGGCCTGAGGAGCTGCATTTCTGACCGTTCCCAGGGGTTCAGATGTGGGCCAGGAACCACCAGCTGATATCAGTAAACACAAAAACTTTACCAGATGCACAAACAGAAAATACAAGGGGTGTTGGCGGTATTGGGCCACAATAATCCTTGAACCAGGACAAAGAGGTAACTTCTAAGCCTAATGAAAGATAGCCTGAAGCTGGAGAAGGAATCCTTGGGGCCCAGCTCAGAACACTTATTGTGTGTCTACGCTTTCTCACAGGTGGGTGGGTGATGAAAATGAGTTTCATTAAAAGAATTTTCTGTCACTAGTGTATTTTTACTTCCCTGCAAATTTAGAATGTTTTCTTCGTTTTAAATAAAAATGTAGAATGATGCATTTTAGATCTTGCATATAAGCTATCCTACTATGCTTACTAATTTTTAGTTAGTAGAACTGTAATACTCTTTTAATAAATTGAGCTTTTTAAGTGATTTTGATATGTGATGAGACCAGTCCAGCATCATTATGCTGATATTTTGCTGTTTTTGATTGTTAGTTCTTTCAGATGGTTTTTAGAATAACTTTGTCAAGTTTCACTCCCTTGAAAGCCTTTGAAGTTTTTATTGTGATTGTATTAAATCCATAAGTTAACTTGAGGAAAGAACTGATATATTTGTGATTGTCTTCTTGGCCAAGAGTATGAAATGTTTTTCTCACCCAAAATTTCCTGTTTCTCCTAAAAGCTATATAGTTATAGTCTCCCCAATATAAATTTTATGTTTTCCTATTTTTGTTATTTCCAGACCCTTTATGGTTTTTTTGCTAGTAAGATTTTTTTACCCATTAAAGTATTTAGGACTTAACAGAGCATAGTCTGTAATGTCCTCTGTAATGTCTTCTGCAAGTCTTCTCTGTTCTTTGTTAGGTTAAATGCTAAATGCTTTATAGTTTTGTTGATGTTGTGAATGGTATTTAATTTTTTACTATTGAATTCGTAAGTTGATTTTGTGTTTAGGAAACTTGCTGAGTTCTTCTCAGTAGTCATTCTGCTGATTCTCTCAAATATTCTGTCAGTTTCTGGGGTGTGTTTAATATCTCTGTCTGCAATTATTGGTTAATCCATTTCTTAACCTATTGTTGGGTCTTTCAATTTTGTGTGTATTTTGAAGATAGATGCATGTTTGTTGATTGTAATTATACTTTTCTTGAGCTCCTTTTAACACTTAAAATTGTCCTTGTTTGCCCCTTTTTCCTCTCTTCATTTCCCTTTTGATTGATAAAAATTTGACAACGTAGCTTTAAGTTTGAATCGCCTTAAATAGAATTTTCTATTAATTTATTTTCAGTCAAAAGTCTCTATGCTTTGATTGAGTTTAAATCCACTTATATTTACTGTAATTATTGTTATTATAGGACTTCTTTCTGCCAAACCATTTTTTGTTTACTTTTACTGTACTTCTTTTCTCTCTGTTTTATTTTCTATGGTTAAAAATTCATTTCTTAATATTGATGGGAAAGTCATATTTTATATATTTTAAAAATGTTTATTTTTTATTAATTTGGCTGTGCCTTATCTTAGTTGTGGCATGCAGGATCTAGTTTCCTGACCAGGGATAGAACCTGGGCCCCTTGCATTGGAAGCGTGGAGTCTTAGCCACTGAACCACCAGGGGAGTCCCTTTATTTTGTGTTTTTATTCTTTTGGTAGTTACCTAAATTACTAAGACCTGGACTTATATTAATTTTTTCTTATCAGAATGTCACCAGTGCAAGGGCTAGTGTTAAGTTTCCATTAAACAGGGAGAGTTGGGAGTTCATTAGATGACTGTTCTCCACATAAAAGTGAGATCTAGAAAATCAAACATTAAAAAGACTATAACAAAGGCCCTATGAGTCAGTAGCAGTGTGGGTGTTTTTATTCTGTTTGCTGCATGCATAATTAGAAAATGGACTGTATAGAGACAGACTTTTTTCCTGTGTTCTTTCTTTTTTGCTGTTCCATTTGAATTAGTCACAGTCCCCTGTTCAAGAAGGCTGTGATCATTTGTAATGAACTGAAATGAAATTTCAGAAAATAAACGGTAAATTGAATGCTAGGGATTGGGGAAATCCCTAGTAAATGACCTGAAAGTAGTAGTAGCATTCAGGTTCCACCCCCCGACCCATGCGTTTCATAGCAGAAAAAAGCATTATGAGTATAATTATAAAAATTCAATCTTCCCTAAGAGTAAATACATGTATATATACATTTTTTTCAGGTGTCTTCAACATCAGCGATCACACCCCGCTGGATTGTGCCAGTAAGTTAATGATACTTAGAATTTTTCTTTCTGTTCTCCTTACAGAATGAGGCCTGAAGGAGTACCAGGTTCTTATTTTCCCTTGAAAACCTGAGGTCATCATCAGAGCTCTTTTAATTAAACTTACTGGCTTCAAACTAGTAATTTAAGTTTTCTGTTTGTAAATGTGTAAGGGTGCTAACAAAAATAAAAATAAAAATCTGATGTGAAGGATAGTAAAAGCAAATAAAAAACAAAAAAGCAGCTGTGATCATAAACATCCTCACCGTTACCGTAACTGTTGGAGAAGATGGCTTGGAGCTGAAGTGCTGCTTGTCAGGGGTGTGATCACCTGCTCTCAGATGTGTTGTGTCTTTCTCAGCAGAGCACTGTCCTTCCTAATGGGCTTGCAGGAAACGGGTTTTCCCTGACGGGGAAGGAAGGGCTGGGCAGCAGAGAGCTCATTTCCCCCCCAGCGCCGTTCTTGGTGGACGCCGTGACCAGGTGAGGAATTATTTCTCAGTTGCCCTTCTTAGGCATCTGTTAGGAGGAAAGAAATAATAAAATTAATTGTATTTAAAGCAATAATGTCCATTCTTCTATAACCAAACTTAATTGAAACTGAATAAATCTCTTCCTCTGTTAATTTTATTTAGAGTAGTGTTTTTCCTTTTTTCTTGTCAGTAGCAATTTTCTACAAAATTTTGAAGTAGACCTTATTTTTTTAAATTAGAAGTCTTTGTTAGATTAAGATGTTAATAGGTCTATCTTTAAAGTTTTATATTTGTTTTAAAATTGATTTATATCTTTTCCTATCATGCTTTACTGTTACGTTGTCGATCAGTACAGAGGAAGAGATGCAGATAAGGGTAGGGCAGGGGATTCCCAAGGTGAGGGCTCTGGTGTAGCTTTCACTGAAGCCTGCTTGTTGCAAGCTCATCTTATCTCATTGCTTGCCACAAACAGAAACTGAACTCAGAAGAGCTTTTGTTCAGCATGTAATTCTTCAGCTTTTGTTACGACCAAGACTGTGCCTGTTTTGCAAAAGATTTTGCCTTCATTTCTTACCTCTGACTTTTTCATGGGTGTGTTTGCTGTTTCTCACATCTTCCTGGTGTTGAGAATGCAGATCAGTTGTAGTAGATGCTTTAGAGAAGAAAAAAAAAAATTCCTAAGTATAAAGGAAAAGTTACTAGAGATGGTTAATTTGAGAGAAATTCATAGTTCATTTTAAAATTGTTGTCTTACCTCTGTAGTCTTTAATATAATTGTTTACTCAGCAAACAACTGCTTGAATATTAGGTACCAGGCATTACTTTTCTCTGGCATTGAAGAGAGCTGTGAACAAGATGGATGTGGGGCCTGTTTCCCTAACATTTGTATGGCTAAGTAGTACCCACTGCTAAAGTAGAGATTACCTGCAGAGAGCCAGGTAATAATTCTCTGTAACTGAGTTTACACAGTAAAATGTGAGTTCTTACAGACTTCCAAATGTTAAGTCACAGATGACATCAGGGCCTTGTCTCCATTCCTTCCCAAAGCAAATAATCATAAAGGAATTAGATTAAAAATGACAGACAGCACACCTGAAGCTAGTATAATATGTCAGGACCTTAATGAGGAGAACATGGCAGTAAATCAGCAAAGCAAACCCAGAAAGCAAGCAAACCCACACAAATACAGTCCCTGATTTACGCAGTGCTAAAGGGAAAGAGTGGTCTCCCAGGCAGTCAGCCTAACAAGTTAAGTATCCTTATGGGAAAAAAGTAATCTTGACTCAACCTCATACTGCACACCAAAATCTACTGTAAGTGCATTGAAAATCTGAAATGTCCATAAATAAAGGTTTTAGCAAAAAATATAAGTAGACATCCTTGTGGCCTTGAGATAAGCAAAGCTTTTTTAAACAAATCATAAAATGCTATATTCATTCAGGAAAAAATGGACAACTTGGATTGTATCAAAAATCTTCTATTTATCAACATACAATTTCAAGCACTCAAAAAAGAAGCCACACAGTAGAGAAGACAGCTGCCACTTCCCCTCTCTCTGACTCTCTCTCTCTCACAAAGGACTGATCCAGAATATATAAAGAGGTCTTGTGAATCAACAAGAAAAATGCAGCTCAATAGAAAAATTGGCAAAAGAGTTGAAAAGCAGTTCACAAGAAGGATATCCAGATGGCCAATAAACCATTAGATGATGCACATCTTGACAAGTCATTGAGAAATACAAATTCAAACCACTGTGATACCACTCCATACACCTAAAATGGCTCAAGTGAAAGAGACATGTAGTACCAAGTACAGATGAAGTCATAGGGCGACAGAAACTCTGTAAATTTAAATAACTGTGTTGCATGTAGATTTGGCAGTGTCTATGAAAGCTGAAAATACTCTTACATGCATACTCAATAGAAATACAAGTATACATCGATTAAAGGTATGTACAAAAATGTTTATAGCAACTGTATTCATCACAGTAATTGAAAACTTAAAAAAAAACCCATTAGCAGTCGACTAGATAAATACTAGACTAGAGCAGTGAAAACGAACAAACGAAGTGTGTCAGAGAAAGACTGATGAGTTTCTTACCTGAGTTATGTTAAGTGTTTATTGCTGTGTAGCAGGTTACCACACATCTAACAGCTTAAGACAGCACAGGTTTCTGCAACCTCATCCCTGTGGGTCAGGAGTCTGGATACAACTTCGCTGTGTCCTCCGCTGCAGAGACTCTCCCAGGTGCTGGTCGGGGAGGGGACCAGAGCTGGGCCGTCAGCTGAAGGCTCAGGTGGAGGGGGCTCTCCTGACAGGACTCAGTTCCTGCGGGCTGCAGGCCAAGGGCCTCCATTTTTAGCTGGCTTGAAGCCAAAGGCTGCCCTCAGGACTTGCCATGGAGCCTTTATTTCCAGGAAGACACTGGGACACTTGCCTGCCACCCAGAAGTGCCCATCTGTGCTGCAATCCCAGGGGTGAGAACCGGTTACTTTTGCTCCAGTCTGTTGGTTAAAGCAAATCACGGGCCTGCAATGCTCAGGGGAGGAAGTCACGTAAGAGTGCCAGGATGTTGGGGTCACTGGGGGTTGTCTTACGGTGTCTGTACACAATAATGGTGAGCAGAGTAAAGTTCAGAAAGAGGCCCAGCCCTCGAGGAGCCAAGCAGTGACTCCTCTCGAGGTGGCTAGCTTCAGAGCCCTAGTGACGTTCTGTTTCCTGACCTGTGTGCTGATGGTACAGGTGCGGCTAGTGTGTGAGGGTTCCTCAGCCTCCAAGCTCCTGCTGCTTTGTGCACGTCAGCATGTGAGCGTTATAATCGGTAACGTGTTTAAAAGGATGGTGCTGGCGTTGCATCTCTGAAGATTCAGATTTAGTGGGGGTGTGCACTGTGCAAATCTTATTTTAAAAGCTTAAAACAGGAGCGGAGACAACGGCAATTGAAAGAATGAATAAGTTTGGGGAGCAGCGAAATGACAGATGAGTGGTAAATAGCTTGACAGGAGAAAACTGAGATCTAAGCCTGAAATGGGGCAGGAATGGAAACTGGAAAAGTAAGAGCCACGTTCTCACTGTAGCTCTGAGGAAAGTCTCAGGAGGTAGAGGGACCAAATATCATGAAGATGATCCAGGTGGAGCTGAGAACCTGAGACTTGGTTGAAAGCATCTAGACCCGTTTAGAACTCGACCTCCCCACGAGGTATTCCCGGAAATTATTAACCAAGTTAAAAATAAGATCCAAAGAATGCATGGAAGATAAGATTCAGGAAATCTCCAAAAAGTAGAATAAAAAGCTGGAAATTGAGACAGAAGAGAAAGTTCGAGGATTGGTCTAGGAAGTCCAATATGTGAATCATTGGAGAGCCAGAAGAAAGACCAGAGTAAATAAAAGTGACCAAAATATTTTAAAAAGGAATCAAGATTTTTCCAGAACATAAGTACTTGAGTTTTACATTAAAGGAGCTCAGTGAGTACCCAGTAACACAATGAAAATAGATGACGCCGTGGAACATCATGAGATTTCAGAATATCAAATTTAAGAGAGGATGTAGGTCTTCAGAGAGGGCGGGAGAAGAGTACTTACAAAGGACTGGTAATCAGATGACAGCAGACTTTACTGAAGCTAGGAGATAATAAATAGAACAGCGCCTGCAGAATCTGGAGAAGAATCGTTTCCATCTCGTATTTATACGCAAACTACCAATGCAGCGTGAGATTAAAATGACATTTTCAGGCGTTCCCTGGTGGTTCAGTGGTTAGGGCTCAGTGCTTTCACTGCCGGGGCCTGAGTCCAGCCCCTGGGCAGGGAACTAAGCTAGCTCTCCCACATGCCACATGACATAGCCAAAAAAAAAGAAATTTTAAAACATGGAATTCCTCTAAAATATATGCTTCTAAGGTGACCGTTGTCAGGAAACTACTTAACTGGAGGATGTGTTCCATCAAAATAGGGTGATTATAATTGGCTATACCCCAATACAAAATAAAAAGTTTAAAATGTGAAAATAAATAGAAGGTTTTAAAAAAACCCAACAACCAGCTGACTATCCCAGAAAGAAACCATGGGACCCAGGAAATAGGTGCAGGAATTTACCAGGAGGAAAGTGAAGCAGGCCTAGAAGGGATCCTGTGTGGATTTGAAGAGGACGTAGCATTCCGGGAAGGATATTGCCAAAGGAAAATGAGAAAACACAGAATTGCCCACCCCTAAATTAAAGAAAACTTACAGGAGAACAGAACCATGGTGCGTTTGCCAGGTTAGGGACACGTTGTTAGACACTCGGTATTAGACACTGGGCAGGCAGTCACAGTGAAAACCAAGGCGCTCCCTCAGTCCAGGGACAGCAGACTCTGTGAGGGAGGAAATGTAGCACACTCAGACTGAGCCGTGAAAGTGTTTATGTGATTATAGCAAGCATTGAATGTTAACATGATCACAGTTGTTCCAAAACTGTGTTGAAAAGATAGGAAGGGAGGACCATGGCGGGGTGTCCTTGTGGAACCACATGCCTTAGGGCAGTCAGGATGCTGCAGGGAGCCTCCCCAGAGGGCAGCTTAGAGCTGCAGGCACTGGGCTGCCCTGAGTCTCTGGTTCAGGGAGCCTGAAGCGGGGCCTGAGAACCTGCATTTATGACAAGTTCCAGGGACCACACTTTGAGAAGCCGAGATCCAAAGCATGAAGGAAAACACCAGGAGAAACCAGTGGCAGTGTTGTCTCTGCTGGATAGGAATGGAGAAAAGCAGGTTCCAGTGACTGCTGACTGCTTTTTCATTTATGTGTCTTGCTAGTGTTTCTGACATTAATCTCTGTCCTTGGTACTTTGATATTGTTTTCAGTTTTTGTGAAACCAAAGTAGGTGCTGTTACGTCTCTGCACCTCCATCCATGCTCTTCACCTCAGGCAGAGCCCACGCACTTTTTAAAAAATATTTATGTATAGGCTATACCACATAGCAGGAGGGATCTTCGTTCCCCAGCCAGGAGTCAAGCCCACACCCCCTGCATTGGAGGTGCAGAGTTTTAATCACTGGACCCCCAGGGCAGTCCCAAAGACCAAGTACTTTTACTCTTCCTTTAGCTGCAACAAGCAGAGGAGGTGGTCCCGGAGCTCAGACCCGGCCGCGGGCGCCGGGCCGTGAGCGCAGAAACCCATGCGCTGCTGCTTTCTGAGCGTGTGGCCATCCTGCTCACCACGTTGTCCACGTCCGTGTTCTAGTGACAGCCCTGACTCAGCAAGAAACTGGGTATCTGCTCAGTGCGTTTTATTCAAGGAAGTCGGGGAAAATCCATGTCTTTTAGAGTCCCTTTCAAGATGAAAACAGCACTGGTTATCTAGAAAGTGACCTTGCGTGAAATTGCTGAATTACGTTTACAAGGCAGCCCCCTTGCTCTCCATGTGCTCCGTGGGGCGCTGGTGGGGAGGTGCATGTTGCTCTCTTGTGGGAGGGTTGTCTCTTCCTTTCCCAGAAACTGAATAACACATTCTTTCCTCCTGTCAGCTCTGCTCCAGCCTCAGCTGGAGAAGCCACCTTGAAGCAGAAGTGTTTGCTGACGACTGAGCTCTGAGGGATGGTGGCTCTGCCTGTGGCCCGAGGCCGGGCCCCCAGCCGTCCATCCCAGAGTCCACTGCTGCCGGGGCCAGTTCTGCACCAGTGGGTAGCAAGCGCACCTGGTTTAGACTTCAGTTCCATGAAAAAGCAGCTACATTTCCGTCCAGCTGGAAGGGCTAATTACACTACACTTTTGCCCAAGTGACGCAATACAGTCTTCCACTCCCCCGATTCTGCTGCGGTTGTGAATCCCTAACGGTGGGAATGCCGCGTCCTGTGGTTTCCTCCGTGCTCTTGGCTCCGCCTAGTGGCTGTGAGTGTCCACGACGCCCCTTGGGGTGGGCTGTCCCTGGCGGTCGTCATCAGCCTGGCAGAGGTTCCTTCTCGCTGGTGTCAGGGCGAGTGTCCCTGAGTGCCTGCTGGAGAAACTGTGCCTTTCTGTCATTGTCTGGAGATCGGGGATTTAGACAGATTAGTGATTACTAAAGAGAAGTTTTAGAATTCAGAGGATTTTCAGATGCTTCCCATACTTTTGACTTTTTGCTGGACTGGCTGTCTTGACACTGCAGGTTTACATCAAGGTAAGATAGACCTTGAGAAGAACTACAGAAAAGTCAGTTGCCTGGCATGCGTTTTCAGCCCAGCCTCCCCTCAGGAAGCATGTCTCCGTGGTCCTCACACACCTGTCACTGTTTGTTCTGGAACGGGTGGGGAGGGTTGCAGAGAGCCTGAGGCATTTCCTCCAGGCGGCCACACTTCTTCCTGGGCCACAGGGTGCTGAAGGCCATGTGACTCGGGGACGGAAGGAGAGCGTGGTAGTTTCTGGGCGCCTCTTTGGATGAAGGCTCCATTTCTTTTTAATGTAAGCTGAATAAACTTAGATGTTGTAAACTGAAGGAAAAAATACCAGGATAGAAATAGGGAATTGGGTTAGGGGGATCCACATCTGAAACTAAATGCAGGTATTGAGAGAATGTTAGGGTTTTGTGTTAGTTTAAAGGGGTTCTTTCGAATTTCCTCATTACTTTCCATCTGTACAGAAAGTTCTGAATGTTAAGGTGGTATATTCTCATTATAGAAAATAGAGAAAAGAATTTCAACACCCAGAAAAATACTCTTTTAGCTTTAAAACTTCGGAATGTGTAAAGTAAACCTCAGTTGCTGTGGGGAATGAGGGTGATCTGGAAACCGTGTTGGGGAGTTGTCGTTAATCCCTGTTATCAAGGGCTGATGTTAAAGTATACCTCCTGGAATTTGGTTTTGGTTTCCTGCCCTGCAGAAACCAGAACTTAATTGAGTGTTAATGTATGCTGTTCTCCATAGAAAAACACGCAGTTTTCAGATCTTTAAAACTCCATGGTCTAGACTGGCGTGGGTTCCCTGTAGCGTAGCCAGCTCAGGCAGTCACACGCTTGTGTCTGACTGGAGAGGGTTTCTTCCTGTGCTGTTCCCGGGACCTGTAGAGGTTGAAAACTACTTTGCAGCGAACGGTTTTGCTGAAGGAAGGGGGTTGGCTCTTCTTGCTGGCTGCCTCCTGTAGCCCTTAGGCTGAGACTGCGGACTTGACCCAGGACGAGCCGGACTGGACGTTGTGTTTTCAGCACACTGACCACCCTGCAGGCAGAGCGTAAGGCCGTGTTTCTGGTCACAGAGACGTCTTCTAGATTTTGGAGCTAGGTTGTTGAAAATATCCCGTTACCTTTGTGTCTTCTGGTACCTGTATCCTTGCCAGTCAGAACACTGAGGAGACTTTCTTAAAATGCATTTGAATCTCAAGCTAAAAGGAAATTTTGTTTCAGGTCCTGACAAAGAGTGGTAAATATGGAAATTGATATTTTAATGAATTAGCCCTGACAGAAAAGATGCCTGTCAGATACACATCTCGTTCCCTGTCTGCTGTCCCCAGGCGACTGTAAGGCTCCCCCTGCTCTGCTCACCTGAGCCGGGGGCAGGGGGAGCAGCAGCAGGTGTGAGTCAGGATGCTGGCAGAGAGTGTGGGGCCTCTGGATGGACCGGGGGGCAGTGGGGGTCCTGCTGAGGTGGCCCTGTGACTGCTGGCCCTCAGGCACAGTTCCTGATGGTGGAAGATCTCAGCGCCGTCCTGTGCATTGGGACCAGCTCGTCCACTGAGTGCAGCTCTGAGGTGACACGCCACTGCGGTCGGGTGGGAAGCTTCGCCATATCTAGAGTCTCCTCTGCATTCGTGCTGTGCAGCTGGAGAGAGTCCTGGCCGCGTCTGATCCCATCAGGAGTGAGGAGCACGTGTCTGCAAAGAGCAGGAGTGACAGTGTGTGGGAGCACTGTGAGCACCCCTGCATTGGAGGGTGCTTGGAGAGGGTTTGTAGCTGGGCTGACAGACCTGTTTGGCGGAAGTGACCGAAGCCTGCTTGAGCCAGAGGCTCGGTTCTATGTCACTTCCTTTCCAGTTTTCACTCTGGCGACTCCCTGGGTGCTAGGATACCGGTGCTTGTGGCCGTGGGCAGGTCTAGGGGCTCAGGGTGGGTGAGTGGGAGGGAGCTGCTTTTCTTCTCTTGCCATTGCCTGGTTGGTCTGTGAGGGTCTGCAGTTTCTGGTGATTTGCAGAGTTCAGTTACTGCTGAGCCCCTCGTCTCCTGCCACCTTAGGGTGGAGGTTGTCAGTGTTTAGGGCTCAGGTGCAGATTGGCTCACGTCCTGGCTCTCAGAGAAGGTGGGGGAATGGAGAGCTGGCCTGGGTGTGCAGGTGGGATTTAAAGTCAGGTTGGTAGGTTTCCGTTTTCTCCCGGAGACTCTTCTTGAGAACTTGTGAAGTAGCACATGAAATCCTGCTTCTCAGGACCTTACAAAGGTCATAGCATCTGTGCGCACGAAGGGCTCATTGTTCTTGCATTCCTGCCCTCCTGGAAACCCTGCTGAACAAAGGAATGATTAGATTCCTTTGATCCTGATAAGTTTAGAAATACCCTTAGGTGCTTTCCTAAAATGCTGATGTTGTTTTGAGAAATTTTTTATTAAACCTGTCATATAGTCTCCTAAGTTTTTGTCTTTACCTGTATCTACGTGTGTGGTCACAAAAGCTCTGTGGACACTGGAAACCCCTGCTTCCTGACTGCTTGTTCCTCATGCGTCTCATTTCCGGCCAACACTGCGTCTGTCTCCTCTTGGACAAGCCCCTGCAGACTTAGACAAGTCACTGCAGAAGCCCCGTCAGATTGGATTATTTGGCAGTCATTTGCACAGAGGGAAGTTATCTTATTTTTCTGTAAGTCAGGCTCTTGAGAAGCCAATTCTCAGCTTCTCATTCAGGGCTGGGACAGCAGGCAGAAAAGTGAGGAGCGGAGGTGGTGAAGACTCGGCCGCCCCCTGCCGCCGGAGTGTGGGCGGTGTAGATGGAGGTGAGTGCCCCGGCTTGGCTGCAAGCAGGGACATCTTCCTGGCCGTTTCCCGCAGATGGCTCCCGGGGGCCAGCGGGTGTTCAGACGGGCTCTGCAGGGTCTCTGTCCCTGGGGGCCCTGGCATTTCTCTGTTGGCATTCTCACTCCCGTGTGGACAAGACAGTCCTGGGCTCCCATCCCTGAGAGGCTGGGAGGGCTCCCAGTTCTGATCATCATGCCCTGATGCTTGCTGATGCTTGCTTGGAAACCTGGAGTCTTCTAATGCATAATACACATTCCATATTATTTGTTCTTATTCCTCTCACAAATGTAAACCTATGGTTCCTGAATGTTCAGAAGAATGTTGGGAGCTTTTCCTGTCTGTTAGCCTGCAAGGTGAGGAAGTTTGTTTGGTTCATTGAAATTTGCCCTGAACTCTGCTGAATTCACATGCTGGCAGAGCTGTGATTGTCTCCAGCTCTGAGAGGTGGGATCCGCGAGCCACTTTATCACATTGATGGAGACAATGATTTAGTCCCTTTCCAGGGTTTTTATTCATCAGAGGAGCGTTTGGGTGTAGACCTCTGCTCTTTAATCTTCCTGTCTGGATATGATAGATGATTACGAGGACCTCACTAACTATTTTGTGTTTACTTTTTATATGTATACAGCTTTGAAGTAGCTTTTAAAGTGTAATTTATTTTTTTTATCGAGTGCACTATTCCTGCGGTGTGTCCCACAGTTTTATATGACTTGTACTAGGAGCGCTGCACTCACCTGTGAGTTGTTTGTACAATGAGATGACCGCTGTAGACGTGACCACCAATAAAGTTTTCGTGAAGCACTTAGTTTTGTGAGCTGTTGCAGTTTCTTGGACGTGTGATGCATGCCTCCTGAGCCCTTCTCTTCTCGGCAGAGCTGTTGGCAAGGGTCGAGCAGAAGCAGCACCACAGTATACAGTGTTCATTTTGATGTGAATGGTGTAAATCTGGATGTCGATTCTGACAGTTAAGAAACCCCATTGGCCATCCCCAGCACATCCTGGGAAGAGCAGCGTGGTGCAGGAAGAGCCCGCTCACTACCCATCGGGCCTGGTGGAGCCGTCCTGGTGCCACTGCCCCTGTACCCTGCACTCCCTCCCCCGCCCTGCGGACCACACCAGGCCCAGGGAGGACCCCTGAGACCCAGCCAGCTGGGTTGTCCTGTGTGCCCCAAGCTGCAGGCCTTCCCACAAACCAAAGGCAGAAAGAAGTGGACAGCTGGGGGGAGACTGCACCTCCCAGGACTCTCTGTCCAGGAGGGCACATCCGCCCCCAGGTTCCAGGGTTGGGAGGTGAAGCGAGGTCCCCAGAGACCTGGATGGTCTGCTGTCTCAGCAGCCCTGGTTTACCTTCCAGGGTCCCAGGTCCTCCCCTCCCCCCAGCCCAAGAGTGAAGCCCATTCTGCCTAACCCAAAAGGCAGACAGGCCGGGCTTTGCTTTTCCGAGCCCAACATGCTTAGGTGGACGGACAAGCACCCAGTGACTCACCATCTCCAAGGTGTCAGGCTATCTGTGCAAGGGTGTCACGTCCCCGCCAGTAACACCAAACCTCCCGCCACCCACTGGCACGGGGAAGCCCTTTCAAATCAACCAGTGGTCACCAGCAGACACCATTGCTGCAGA